TTCTTGTGCAGGTATTGGGGAAATGGGAAATAATAATAATTACAGAAAGATCACGTTGTGCTTCACAGCAACTGTCTGAGGCAACACGAAGCGGTGCTTAAAATAGCCTCCTAAAGTAACTCGGCTTTTTGTCCCCTGTAAAAATAATCCCATTGAAAATTATGCACTTTCTGTGTTATTTGAAATGGGTGTGCCACATGAACAAGGCTTTTTTCATATGATCATGGTTTTACCTCTCATCACTGAGTTGTTTCAAAGGCATGATAGCAATGCACATATGCAGCAACATATAATGGTGACAATAAACTTTGTGAATTGTGTTGGTATAGCAGAATGTTTCCCTTCTGGAAAGGCAGCCTTGTTACTGGATGCCTCTTCAGCAAGGCTATAATGACTTTTTAATTGTGACGTTTAGCTTATTTTTTTTAGTTGTTGCTTTGTTAATAGTGCTTCATAGATTGCAATTGCTTCACTCCTGATTTGTTAATGATTCTATATGGCTTATGCCATATTTGTGATGTTCTATTATGTCCTGTCCTGTTTTTGTTATTTATTGTTTGTAAGCCGCAGTGTTTCCCAAACTTGGGTCTCCAGCTGTTTTTGGACTACAGCTCCCATCATCCCTAGCTACCAAGATGAGTGATCAGGGATGATGGGAAATGTAGTCTGAAAAAACAGCTGGAGACCCAAGTTTAGGAAACACTGAATAATAACAATAATAATATTTTTTATTATTTGTACCCTGGCCATCTGGCTGAGTTGCTCCAACCATTCTGGGCAACTTCCAGCATATATCCAAAAACATAATAAAACATTAAACGTTAAAATGGATGAAAAGCAGCATAGAAATATAATCAATCAATCAGTGGCAAACATTTTCAACAGTGGGGAGTGGCTTCCACATAGTGGCAGGGCATACATGGAAAAGGTCCCAAGGTTCATCTGTGTGGCATCTTCATGAAGGGGTGGGAAAGATGCTTCTCTGCAACCCTGGAGAGAGGGGCTGCCAGTCAGTGTGGACAATATTGAGATGGACCAATGGACTGACAGCATTATCAGTGTGCATTTCTTGGTACAGAAAAGTATTGATTTGATATGTAAAGATCTTTCCTATTCTAATTAATTCTAGAGGGTTTGGGAAGTGTCTCTGTGTGATACAAGCTGTCTTTACAACCTGGTAAAGACCAGGACTTTAGATTTCCCATGATTAATTGTCAGATGGTTGAGTTTGCAATAAGCCGCAAAAATCTTTAGAGCTCTGCATAAACCGACTCTAGAGTAGGAAAGGATCGCTGCATCGTCGGCATATAAGAGCAGAGGGCAGCGAAAATCAGCTAGGCGGGGGCATGAATGTTGGCTTGAGACTCATTCAGAAAGAGCTTCATATCGCTAATAAACAAGTTGAAGAGGAGTGGGGCCAAAATGCAACCTTGGCGCACACCTCTATTTATTGGGACCTCGTTGGATACAAGCTGGAAGTTTCAAGTTGACAAGTAAGTTTCTATTCTGCCTAGAAACAAGCAGAGGCTGCTGATATTTGGGTTATTCAGAGAAGCTGCACAGCTGGTTTAAACTGGTTCTGTTATCTCTTTCACCCAAGGTCATTCTGACTATAATAATCAGCCAGAAGGAGTCTGAGTTTCACTTTCTCTCTCTCTCTTTCCTTCTGGTGTGGTGTTCTGTACATAGTATGCTTAGTATTAAGGTTTTAGTCCTATTGTAAGTTATTTCAGGTTTAAGTCAGGCATCCCCAAACTGGGCCCTTCAGATGTTTTGGGACTACAACTCCCATCATCCCTAGCTAACAGAACCAATGGTCAGGGATGATGGGAGTTGCAGTCCCAAAACATCTGGAGGGCCGAGTTTCGGGATGCCTGGTTTAAGTTAAGTCTGCTGCAACTGGATTTCTTATGGACTGTCCTAATCCTGAATGTATTGGATTTGTGACCATTATGCTCATTTGCCTTCAGTAGCAGTAAAGCTCTGCTGGATGAAACACAATTGCCTCTGGTCTATTTCTGGGGAATCCTAAAATGTGTCTTAAGTTTATTTATTTTTTACTCTGCTAACAATATGTTGGATTCTATCTCTGGATCGATATTGAGCCGAATTCATGACAAGCATAAGGCAGCTTCCCGCACTGTATAAATGGCAACTCTGACTATAGCCAAGAACAGCCCTTTCAGGAAAAAATGGAGTCCCTGTGGCAACAACAGGAAATTGAAGTGCAGAGAACAAAGGAGGACAACTTTTTGCAGCCGAGAAACAAATATGGGGAAGGGTGGCAGACTATTTGTACTTGTGTTTTATTGCGGCTCTTTTGCCTTTTCTTCTTTTTCTCCAAAGCAACCTTAAATAATTCATTCCTTAAAAGCTACTAACAAATAAATATTTATCATCACCCTCATCATCTACCACAAATACATTCCTTGTGGAAGTTGCAGAGACCAGGCTGAAAAGAGACCTAGTGCAGGGAGACAAAACATAATCATGTTTCACAACTATGAGGGGCAAATACTTTTTGGAGGTGCCCTTTTGAAAAGGTTGGGGGCACAGGGGGAATCTTTCTCAGGATTCCCCCTGTCTCAGGTATTATTATCCCCCAGAAACATAAATGTCTCTAGTTATTTCTAAATCACACAGAATAATCACAGTAAGTTATCTTAAGATAAATTCTTGTCATTATATTTTAAATTTAACCTTGGATGTATCCAAGAGCTGAACTTTACTATAAATCTTCCAGCCACACTGGGACTGAAGCAAGGGTGGCTAATCTATAGTCTGTAGACAATCTATAGGTTCCCCAGGTGATTTATGATGCTCCTGCAAGCCTCCAATAATTTGGCAGCCATGTGGGCAATACAGTGATACCTTGGGTTAAATGTGCTTCAGGTTGAGCACTTTTGGGTTGCGCTCCACGGCAACCCAGAAGTAACGGAACGCGTTACTTCCCGATTCCGCTGCTCGCGCATGCGCAGATGGCAAAAATGACGTCACGTGCATGCATGGAAGCTGTGACTCGCGACCCGCGCATGCGCAGACGTGGGTTTCGTTCGCTTCTGGGTGCGAACGGGGCTCTGGAACAAATCCAGTTTGTATCCAGAGGTACCACTGTATTTAAATACAGAGAGAGAATGAGAGATCAGATATAGATAAATATATTGATTTAGACACTGGGCAGGAGGTGGTGGGATGAATGTCTGCTGAATGTATGGGTGTGAGTGCGCATGTGTTGGAGACCGTGATATGCCAATATGTGGCCCTTGGAAGCATGGCCAACCCTCAATGTGGCCCTCAAGCCACATTAGAAATTTCACCCCTGAATGCTTCCAGTAATGAAAGCTTCAAGATTCTCTGCCACATCTGAAGTACAGCAGAACATCCCATGCCAAATTACTAATACACTGGGAATGGATGAAGATGAAGTGCAGCCCAGGACCCTCTAGTGGCCATGCCATGGGCACAGAGCAGCCTTTCCCAACCTTGGGTCCCCAGATGTTGTTGCACTACAACTCCCATCATCCCTGGCTAGCAGGGTTTATAGTCCAATGACATCAAAGGACCCAAGGCTGGCATAGAGGCCTCAAAATTTGGGGGTACCAAGTAGCAGGGAGTCAGGGACCCTAGTTTTCATTTGATGGAACATCACAAGGCTCAGTTCTGCTCAGAAGACCATAATACTGTTGACCACTCTGATACCACCATTGTCTCTTCTCTTCCAATCTACATTTCTCTATTGATTAATGCTTGTCAAAAAATCAACATGACCCTCCGCAACAACTAGCCATCTCATATTCATTCTCCTATATATGTATATATATATATATATGTATATATATATATATATATATGAATGAAAATTGGGATTTAATCAGGTTGCTGGATAACATTAGTTGCTGAGTTCACCATAGGACTACAATAAAAGAGGATAAGCAGAATAAGACCACTAAACTGATTCATATTACAGCTGGATGAGACTATAGACACTACTGGCGTCATTTGGCAAATCTATATTCAGCTTCTTATTTAATAGGTCAGCTTTTCAAATATGTTCTCATAAGATCCAATTAAAGTTAACTTCAGCAATGAGGACTTCATTAGTGATTCAACGGTTGCTCGTTTCTTTTCGGGGCATAAGCAACCGATAAATCAAATTCCCTATAAAAAGTTTTGGCAGGGTGGGATGGGGGTGATAGAAAGGCATAAGAAATATCAGAAGAGCCCAACTAAATGACACCAAAGGCTCATCTAGCCCAGCACTAAGGGCGTACGTTCCCTTTTTCCAATGAACAAAGAACTGAATTAAATTAGGCCCATTCAGTTCAATGTTCATGCATACAAAAAGAATACACACAGGAACAAATTGGTATACATGGAACACCCCCATTCATAGAATTATAGAATCATTCACGTCCATTCATGTGTGAGTGGGGAGGAAATGGGTGATGGTGATAGCAGACCTCACCTCTCTGGCCGTTCCTGCCAACTGCCATTTTTGTATGTCCAAACAGGTTTACATGGGGACTTTCACACGCCTTCATGAATAACTTTACTTCAATGCAAGCTTTTTCATTCCATCTCTTGGTTAAAGTGCCCAATCTAGACATTTCCCTTGCCAGATCAATATATCCACCGAAGGGGCCACTGGGTTGCTCACAGCAGTCTTATAGTAGCTAAGAGACTTACTGCAGTTGCAAAAAAAATCCAAGCAACAGTTACTTTCACAAAGGGGCAATGGGCGTGCAAAACAAAGATGGAGCCTTCATCCTCAAAGAACTCACTTCCCCCGCGTTTGGATGCATCTTCCACAGTGTGGTTCCTTTTCCCTTCCTCGAGGGTTCTAGATCGCACAGGGAACCTACATGACTAGAAAAGCTTCCCCACAAGCCCTTCACATGAGCAATGACTGAATAAGGCTATAATGTATATAGATTTGCATGCATTCTAAAGTAGCATGATGAGATGGGCATAGGCATTCACTTTTAAAATGGAAAAGGGCAGTCGTGGCTTAGGCGTAGGGCACCTGCTTTGCATGCAGAAGGTCACAGGTTCAAACCCTGGCATCTCTAGTTAGAGCTTCTGCCAGTCAATGTAAGCCAGGGTTTCCCAAACTTGGGTATCCAGCTGTTTTTGGACTACAGTTCCCATCATTGTTGACCCTGCTAGCTAGGGATGATGGGAGCTAGAGATGGGAGCTGGAGACTCAAGTTTGATGTAGACCATTCTGAGCTATATGGAACAATGGTGTAACTCAGCATAAGGCCACTTCCTATACACAATTAAAAATTGACCTCCCTAACTTGTTCCTTCCTACCTAAGTTTCCTGCAGAGTTGTTAGGGAACAGAAAAGAGATTTAGTGATCTACATTTTCTACAGAGGAGCACGAATGCAAGTTACGAAAGGAACAAATAAGAAAATGAATGTGCTGTTTTTAAAGAATGAAACTGAGGCAGGAAACAATATTTCAAATCAAATTTCACCCTCCCTTCTATTGTAGCCATTTGAAATGTGCACATTCCAGTCATCAAAGCGTTTGTTCTTAGGAATTTAGTACATCCTGGGAGAAAACCCAACCAAAAGTAAGCACTTTTAAGTCCCACTGATTTCAATGTAACAATTATGCATATACTTGAACCAGTGGAATTTTAATGTGCATAACTGCAGCTGGATCATGCCCCTTGTAACTGAGAAATACCTTCAGGGTCACTTAGGACTGAACCAAAGGCACTGATCACCACATCGGCTTTCAGGCGGACAATCTGATCCTGGTCCTCATTCCAGTTTCCGTCTTCATCTTGCTCTGTCCGAACAAATTCCATAGCAACAATCTTCCCTCCTTTTACTACAACCTTCCGAGGGGAAAGGAAAGGTAGAAATTCACATTTTTCTTCTTTTGCAAGATCTACCTGGAAGGGGGAAAATAACATAGTTGTTATTGATTTTTTTAAAGGTGAATTTGTATGTTGAAAGCTATCTTGAGAGAGTCTGACCCTAAAAGAAAAGTCTACAAATATTCTATATAAATAGATAACGCTTGTGTTATTTTCTAACCCTGCAATCCTATTGCAGGCCTCCCAGGAGTGCTGAGTATTTGAATCTCCCTCTTTGAGGATAGAGAGAAAGGTCTACCATCAGAGGTAGAAAACTGGTATCTCAAGCCTCTCCACGAGGCTGTGGAAAGATCCACAGCCAGTTATTGTGATACTGGAGATGGCACAGGAGAGGTATGCCAGGGGGGTTCTGGGAGGGTCTGTAGGTCCACAGGATATACAACCCTCTCTATCCCAACTCTCTCTTCCACAAGAGGGAATAAACTACAGCATTGGCATAGCCTATTTCCTTTCCATTGTTTCCATGGGGGCGGGAATCTTAAATGAAACATAAACTGGCAAAGTAAAACAGGAACGCAATAAAACCACTCCATCTTCACTTTCTGCCCTGCTGAGCTGGTGGGACATTGGAATAGAGTGAGTCATCCACTTCCAGCTCTCCTCCTCTTTGGCCCCCTTGGATCGCAGTCTACATCTTCTACACACTGGGCTGCAATTTATTAATGTGGCTCGTTCTGTAGATTCCAGTGTTAGCAGGTTGAGATATGCATCCGAACAGGACAATGGTAATATTCTCAATACACATCAACCTCTCTCCCCCCAATCAGAAGATCAAACTGTCTTTTTAACCATCTTTTCTACCACCCACTACTTCTGGAATTGCATTACTTTTAATTAGCAGCATCTGTTAGGAGACCTCTTGGATTTGAAGTCAGAAATGGAATCGGCTTCATCTTTGTGAAAGGCTCTTACAGTAGGCTTCATTATCATTCCAATATGAGAGGAGACCACACAATCTGTTCTGGGAATAGCAGTTAGACCTACACACATTCCGTTGTCAGCTACTTGCTGTGGTGCCCAATTATCAAATCCACAAATGTTTTAAATGAATTAAAATGTGTAAGGCAAGGCTGTCGTTGTAAAATATTCCTCAAGTCTGGGATTCATCCAGTCTCTTTTTGCATTTAAATTATCATTTATGATTATTTTTATTTCCATTCATTTGACACATACTGAATCGACACAAAGCAACATCTTCCATGACCAATAGCCACAATTCTTTCTACTCCCATTGGTCAGATGTCTTTTCTTAAATGTCAATGATTTCAGCTGAAGAATGAATTCAAAGCAGCCAAGCCCAATTTAGTGAGAGCAGCAAACCTGCACTCTCTGTTTCGCCCCAAGCTCCTTTCTCCCAAAATTCTACTATTGCTATGTGCATCACTCCTCATTAAAGTGCAAGAAGGAAGTCAACAGGTGAAGGTTTGGTTCCAGGTGTGGGGAGCCTGTGGCATTCTGGGTGTTGCTGAACTACAACTCCCATCAGCCCCAGCAAGCCTGGCCAACAGCCACAGATGATGAGAGTTGTAGTTCAGCAGCATTTGGAGGGCCCAAGGTTCCCAACACCTGGCTTAATAAACCAGAAACTGGTGCCTCCGCAGATATACACACTGCCTCCACTTATCTGCAAGAAATATGGCAGATGGAATCACTGGCAGATAACAGTCTATTGCACACACACACACACAGAGAGAGAGAGGACTTCAGAACTTAGACAAAGAGGAGATGGATGGCATATCAGACAGTAATGACAGTATGCGTTAATACTTTTACTTGTTTTGATTATTTTTATTATGTATTTTATTATGTATTTTGTGCTTCGTATATTGTCTAGGTGTTGTGAACCGCCCAGAGACCTACAGGTATAGGGCAGTATACAAATTTAATCAATCAGTCATCATCATCATGCCTCTTTCTCTCTGTTAATCTACAAAAATGGGAGTTTGCGACTGTGAGGCCACAGTGAAAGGGCAACAGTAGAGCAGCTACAGTCTGGGTAACAACCATGACAGGACAAGAACCCCTCCCAAATTCCAGCTAGAGAATGGACCCTCTTGGAATGAGATCTCACACAGCAAACTTGATCCCAACATGCCTATCAAACAGAGCAGATGTGCATTGTACATTGAAAACACAATGCCACCAGTACGTAACTATGACCTCATAATAGCTTGTCCTGAAAAAGAGAAGCAGAGGCTACAGACATTTGTAACAATGACAGGACCCTTGAGGACGAGCCCTGCCATAGAGATGAGGGCTTCAATTGAACGGAGTGCTAAGTAACTCTTTGCACAAGTGGAAAAACATCTGTTTGTGCAAGGAGACTTCCTACTCTCCTCTCCCTGGGTGCCACCATATTTCACTGTGATTGTGGCAGCAAACCACCCAGAGACTGCTGAATAACTTCCCACTCCCTTCCAATGCTATTTCTCTAGGGGGAAAAAGGTGCCGGAACTCACCATGAACACCTCCCTCATTCTCTTAGAATGGCAGTGATGCTTACCTGAGAGATAACCCACCAGAACCCACCTGAGGCGCTGGAACTAAGTTCCTGTGAGTTCCCCCTGGAAAAAAGCCCTGCCCCCTCCTATCACCATGATACTATGTCAAAATGTAGTGCTATTCTGAGACTGGGACAAGTGCTGTCATTGTTACAAAACAGGAGACAGAACTAAAAGCCAAAAGAGGTATGCCAGTTTCACTGCCCTGCTTTTGCCCACCAAAATTTAGACTCCCGGAATGCTTCTGCAAACCTCCTGAAATGTCACCCAAATGACCTCCTTTATTTACTTCAGGGGTCAGTAAACTTTTTCAGCAGGGGGCCAGTCCACTGTCCCTCAGACCTTGTGGGGGGCCAGACTATATTTTTTTTGTGGGGGGGATGAAGAAATTCCTACGCCCCACAAATAACCCAGAGATGCATTTTAAATAAAAGGACACATTCTACTCATGTAAAAACACGCTGATTCCCGAACTGTCCGCAGGCCGGATTTAGAAGGTGATTGGGCCAGATTCGGCCCCTGGGCCTTTGCCTACCCATGATTTACTTCTTGCTTCAATAACACCCACAATTTTGAGTGAATCTATTCTTTGTGAATTTAAGAATATAACTTCTAGTCATGCTACCAGATGCTTGACTTGCTAATTTGGTCAAAGATGTTTTCACATTAAGGCAGGAGTTGAAATTATTCCAAAAACTGGGCATCTCTTGAAAGGATTATGCAAAATGGATATGAAATTTAAAGAAGAGCTTAACTCTTTTTCTCAGAGCCAAACCTTTAGGGTTCATTGTGTTCTATTTGTGTTCACTAAAGTTGATAAGATTACTAACTTTTATGGTTAAAAAAAAATGTGGCAGGATTTAGAAAAGCTGTCCCAGTTTCTGATTTGATCCTGGAATGTCCCATTTTTCTTAGGATGTCCCTATTCTCATCAAAGAAATGTTGGAAGGTATGGAGTTCAGCAACCACTGAACCAAGGAGATAATTACCTTTAGAAGACATCTAATGGCAGCCCTGTATAGGAAAGTTCTTTTTTAAATGTTTAATGTTTTATTGTGTTTTTATACATGTTGGAAGCCACCCAGAGTGGCAGGGGCAACCCAGTCAGATGGGTGGGGTGTTGTTGTTGTTAATACTGAATAGGGCATTCCTATTATCATGGGAGAAATGTTGGAGGGTATGGCATAGTCCATGGTCAGAAGTGATGGTGGCTGTGGTTCAACAGTATACAGATGGCCACTGGTTTGCTACCTCTGTTTTAGGGAGGAAAAAAAATCTGCAAACAATATTTACACCTCAGCAAAAAACAACAACAGTTCATACATAAGAACCAGGGAACTACCATCAGAGTTGTGCTAAGAATAAATTAGTGTATTTATTACATTTGTTCAAAAATAATCTCTCTAAATTATTACTCTCTGACAAAAAAACTCCAGAACATAAATTATGTAGCATGAAAAATTACTCTCTGTTCTAGATGATTCCCCACTAGTCACCTTGTGCAACCGTTAGGTCTACATCTGTCCCTGAGGAGAGGGGGCTATTTCCGCATATATTTTGTAACTGGGGCATATCTGATGTCTCATTAGTGTGAATTATGCAATAATCTGTGGTATGCGGCACATAAATTACAACAAAGCAAGCCCAACACATTGCGATAATTAAAGCTGAAATAA